ATTTCTAAAAATATATATATATAATTTCTTCACTTAAAAAAAAGCATAGTTCTTACCCCATAAGAGAGCATAGCTATGATTTTCTTTCGGAAGAGTTCAATTATACATCACTTAACTTTCCAGGTCACATATAACTTTTTACGTCGATGTACATAACTCACAACACCACTTTCACTGTCCTTTGACATCTATGTGTAGAAACTACAATAGTCTACAAAACATCGATATATTCTTCTTACCGTTATCTCAGTTCAGGAAAGCAATATGTAATGCACTACATAACTGATATGTTACATGGTATGTAATGCTAATATAGATTACGTTTTATGTTCAATTTTTGTTTTTCTCAATAAATGAATTAATAAATAAATTAATCTTCAAAGTGTCTGGTTGGTATCTTGGTTTTCACCAAAAAATTACAACTTTCTGTATTAGTCTTGCAGCTTCTCCACCACTCGTGATATGGTGGAGCTTGATATCAAACAGTTGTTGGACTACAGTAGGGATGAACTACGATGTCTAACAGGTCTTTTTACAGGTCACTGTCACTTGAATCATCATGTGCAAAGACTCGGACTCTCGGAAGACAGTGTGTGTCGCCTCTGTTTGGAAAATGATGAAACAGCAGAGCACATACTTTGTGCCTGCCCCGCTAGGGACCGAATCAGGTTTTTAGAGTTTGACAGGGCCGTACTCTTACCATCTGACCTGAAACTAATCGGCTTCGTTAAGAAGCTAGGTTTTTTTTGTCGAGTGTGAATAGGTGTGAGTCACAATAAACCCTTGTGAGTTGCGGTGAAGAGTCGAATAGACCCACTAACTTTGGACCCAACCTGACCTAACCTAAGTCGTAACGTCACATGATCTTAAGTCACACGTAATATGGTGTTTGCTTGAAGATGGTTGACAATGTTTCTTGGTGAATTTCATTAGTTTGAACTTCCATTGTCTAATATGATATAAAATTGTAACTAGTTAAAGAATTAACGGTCTTAAACAAATTTATTTTCAACAATATTTCACTATCACAAGCTAATTTATATTCAACACTTAGCAACTAACGCTTAATTTATTTCCACTATTTGAATTATACAAGCAACAATTGAAAATGGAACAATTAAAAAGAAAAAAATTAAAGATTTCAAGCCAAGTTACAGCTCCCAGACTGAGTCGCAGCCGGTGAGAAGCCCCTCCCTCAAGATGTGCAGTTGATATGTAGAAATCTGTCATCAGCCTGTTAGATTATTCGAGCCGTAGACATAAAAATTTAGAACCGTATTCGGTTAGTGATGGAGTTCAAAAGTAAATTGCATAAACATACGCAATTTTACGACAGTAGATGAACAACACCGATTCTGGCCCACTTCAAGGTCGTGCTTCGCTGGTAGGTGCGGAGAGAAA